CATATGATCCAAAAGTGGTTCGATGAATAATAGGGGACATGCAGCGTACTGTGCATGCGCACATACATGTGCGGTGAATGTTTGTTATCGAGGAACAATGTGTGGGTGGGATTTTGATTGCGTAATAGATATGAATGTACTGGAAGAGGGAAGAGGGACGGGGAGAATAATGTTTTTTCCATGGGCTTAACCTAATATTAATCCAGCAAAATCCAATATGAAAAATATTAAAATCCGAATCAATCAAACAAGTGTACCACATCGAGAACCAATCATTACTCGTAGAGTGTAAAGTAAAGGGTACATGGTGAGAGGGTAAAAAAAAAAAAAATCAAACGCCGAATTTACTGATAAGGTAATATGTAGTAGTGACTATAATAAATATAGGTGTTTGATGAAGGTGAATCTTGTAATTTAAAGTATTAACGAGGCGTGAAGGGTAAAGTTAATAATGGAAATTTATTTATACAAAAATTAATATCGATTCATTCGATGATTTGTGCATCGCGGTTACGCAACTTGCAGTCCGATGAAGAAAGGTTTTCTCATTTAGGACATTTATTGGGCATCCACCACCAGTTTAGTCGTCATTTTATTCTGCTATCTGTTGTGCCCCAAAGTGAGCATATGTAGTAAGAGGTCTGGATTTAACTTAATGTGAAGTCTATGATTAACCGAGGATAATAAAGGTGCACATCCATTCTTATCGGTGGACGGGATACCGTATATTGGATTTGCATTTAATGTAACATTTCCTTGTTGACTAACAGAACTAATAAATGGAAACACATTTAGAAGACAAAAGTGGGTGAATGTTTACCAGGAAAATGCATTGTTTCAATGTAACGAGAAAGGGGAGCGGAGTCCACACGTCACTAAATATTGCAATTTGTGCTCAGTCTTTTGATAACAGTCACGAAGCAATCTATTGGTTTGCAAAGCAAAAAGGGTTTTGAATTCTCATTTTAGAATTCTTCGATATGGAGTTTGTCGGACCAGATTCGTCCTTTACATGTTCCTGTTTGCATAACTACGCATCTAATTAAAAATATTCAATGACTTTCTTTGCACATGTGACGGATTGGCTTTGATCTTGTGGAAATGGTCGGGAAAGGCATACATACTGTACATATACGCTTGCAACAAAAATAGTGTTACTTAATCAAAACAATTGAGAACCGAAGGCGCATGCTGAATCTGGGACGAAGTGAAAGATGCGCGATTTAATGTATTCTTGTTGTACGCAAATACGTAAGCTGTCATGTGGTGTGAACATTATTATACCTAAGGTTTAAAAAAAGCAGGTAGTCACACGTTCAAATTTATCGATTTTCGCAAAGTCCATGTCGTCATTCTTTATCCTCCTTCTTGAATACTGAATGTATACAAGATATGATTATTTATAGGTCACAGATTGTCGATACTTATAAGCGAGGTATGGTTAAATCAAAAAAAAAAAAAAAAGGGACGCGCATACGTATAAAATACGTCGTGCATCGTGCATCACTTTTCTATTTAAAATATTAAAATACGTGGCAGCCATGCATTCATAATTCCTGTTCTTATTTGGACATACGAACTATAGGATCTTCGGCGCACATAAATTCACCTTTGAGAAAGAAGCGAATCTTGTGCGTGCAATATTGCGAATAATTATTGTGTTCTTGAAGAATCCACAGTTTCATTCTATTAGGTGAATGGAATGACCATTATAATAGATTAATCTATTTACATTTCATTTATTTATGTACTAAACATTCTTGCAAGAGATTCTATTTGTTGCACTTTTTTTTTTTGTAACAAATAAAAAAGAATCAATTCCAGGATGAAATTCATTGAATCAACTCGGTTGGATCGGCTGGAGAATCTCCTTGATATAACGAGCATAATAATTCAAAAACTCATTTATTACGAAAGACCTTCTCTAATTGGTAAAAATAGCAATGAAAATTCGACAACGTCGTAAATATTTGGTCTTTAATAAGAGAGACCCACTCATCTTCGTTGATCGGATCTTCATATGAAAGAAAAACGAGCCGCGAATGCATATCTGTGCTGCATGCGTTCATTGAATCTTCGTCGTCCCCCGTAGTTCCCTCGGAAATAGATATTTATCAAGGATCCATCACATGAATTTGTGGCTACTCCTAAGAATGTGTTCATTCTAAAGTTCGCATACTATTCCAAATTTATTCAAGATGAATGATATGAAATAAATAAATAAATAAATAAATAAAACAAAAAATTTTTTTTTTTTTTTTTTTTTATGGTTGGATGCCTCGATACGATAGGCAGGCGATGACAAAGATGATAAATGCGCACTTGGATAATCGCTGTGGCGCTTCATAGGACAGCCCAACGGAATAATTTCCTGCGCATTTTAGCATAGGAATAGAATGTCGTGTTTGAAGACATGACTAAACGTGAAGTTTTCAGTATGCGCTACGCAAATCGCAATCATGTATATGCGACAAAAAAAAAAAAAATTTTTCGCAGCAAATATTTTTTTATGAATGGGTCAGATTGTCTATTTTGCAAACGGTATGCAAGTTGTTATCCACACCTCTTATTTGTTGTATGCGCTCGCTAATATATGCGTATGAAATAGATAAGTACGTAGCCATCTCTTTTTCATTTCTTTATTTACAACAATACATCAGAAATTCTCTGTTTCACCCAGAAAGAAGAGGACGTTTTTTTATTTCTAAATCAAAATTAATGCGCACACATAAATCTGCTAATGAACGGGTACATAAACTGTGTGTGCGTGCGTACGCACCCACGTACAGGGATATACCGCAAATGCGCTTTTGTTATTATCGGACAATCGGTAGTTAATTTGTTAGCTGGGCAGTTAATCCGTTTTTCTCGCACCTCGTTCCGATTGTGCATCCGTTACGTCCAATTAAATTAACCTTCGTTGAATAAGAGAGGCACCGTCGAGGTATTTTTTTGTAGGCATCAAACAATCTTAAATTGATTGTTTCCGCATGCATTAAGAAATTAACATATAAAGATGGTTAGTGGAATTCTTATAAAACTCTAATTAAAACTAAGGAGCGCAAGGGAATATTCAAATGGTTCATTGTGTTTCCGGTTGTTAACGAGTAAAAAAAAAAAAAAAAAAATATTATTATATGGTACATACATACATACATACATACATACATCTTTTATATATATCAAGGTATGCCGTATTGTCTCGCTCACTTACCAGTATATACATGTTATACATATAAAACATGGATCATTTCATAGGTGTATGATTGATGAAACAACAACAACAAAAAAAAAATCTCCCCCCCCCCCTAAGCGACATATTGGTGCACCACACCACTTGACTAATGCACAATAAACAAATTCGTATCATGCACGTTCCTTACATTATACTTCTAAAATAATATTATAATAATCGTAATAAAAACATCACGCATTATTAATATTTCATCTTTCAATAATGAATCGTTAATAAACATGTGAAAAAATTTCTTTATAACGGCAGGATCTCTCGGTCTCGATTCATCCCTCCCCTCACATTTGAAAAAAAAAAATAAAAATAAAAATAAAATAATTAATAATAATAACAAAAAGACCTCTCTATATTCGTAATACATAATATTAGTCACTCATCAGATTTACCATTTTAGATTATTATCCTTTGCGGGCACACCAATAAAACATACCATCCATCACCGTCCCTGCTCTTGAGTAGAAAAGGAAGGTCATTCCATCAAAGAAAAAAAAAGAAGCTTCATTCATTCTCCATTTGAGAAAAAAAAGAAATTCTTTAAAGCGTGCGGGCACCATATTTTTTTTTTTCACAATTCATAAATTAATCGCTTACGTCCTTTTAAAAATTAACTTTAATTTCTGAAGTCCCTTATTTATCAACCTTTTTTTTTTTTTTCAAAAATATTAATATACTGTTTATTTGTGATCATATATTTGTTGTATGAGTATATAAACACCGCACGATACTATAATTTGTTACGTCTACACTCATTTTACTTATTTATTATCCTTTTTATGACACCTACCGTTTTTTTTTTTTAATACCCCTAAAATCTTTTATAAATAATCCATTCATTACTACAGTATCATTAGTATTATCATTAGAAATTTTTTCAGAAACGCGCAAGGCTTCTTAATCCCACCGGGTTATTGCCATAACATATTTTTTTTTTTTAAAAAAAAAAAAAAATTCCTTTCCTTCTCCACTTTAACATTCCCTTCGTTCACCTGTTTCCACTCGACTCCTTCAAGAAGGATTACCAATTTTTACCTTTTCAAACGATCACACCATTATTGTTGCTGCTGTTAAATTAGATTCCTTTCAGGCAACTCCAATAACCAATTCTTTTTTAAAGTAATTGATTACGTACATTCCAATATTCGGCTGTTTACACTTATTCATTCGTACACCCGCTCAATTACATGTCATCATCATCAGTATACGGTAAAAAATTTTCGTAACGTCTCACCATAAAATTTTTTTCTCCGCAATTAAACCTTTTCCTGTCTCCCCCCTTGGGTAATCATCCATTATCGGCGCAAAAATAAATTCACCCGGCATATTAGTGTGGTGTGGTCATCCACGGTATTAACAGAATTTTCCTATTATTTTTTTTGCATAACGTCGATCGCAAATCAATACTTCTATTAGTTTACAGGTGAGTGCTAGTGTAATTTTTTTTTTTTTTTTTAAAAAAAAAAAAAAAACTTATAATGATCGCTCATTCCGCCTCATTGAAATTTCAATCTTTTCTCCTCCCCTTCACCTTCTGCTTCTTTATCCACAACTACTTCTTTCTTTGATTATTTTTTCCACGATCTTCTCTCTCTTTTGCAAAAAGAATTTTCCCTCTCCTCAATTTTATAATAAAACAGAAAAGATAGTTTCCTTCCCTTTTTGTGTTTTTCTTCCATTCCATCAGGAGTCATCGCCATCTACCTCACCTACCAACAATCATCACAACCTACCATTTTTCACGAAAAGAGAAATGAGTGAACGGGGAAATCAAACCGAGGTCAAAGGTGAAATCGAGAGCGAGAGCATCACACGGAGCTCAAGTGAAGAGACTCCGGTCGAAGGTCAACTCCATGAAATAATTATCTTGAATGTTGGCGGCATTAAGGTAAGCATGCTTGGTGTTTCTGCGGGGAGGGGGAGAGGGAATGCACGGCGACGGCTATATCTGAGCTCGTTTTTTTTCTTCCTTCCTTTTTAGCTCATTTCACTGTTGTTGCTTTCTTTTTGTGTTTCTCTCACTTCAAAAGATTAATTATTATGTATACATTTTATTCAACATCACTCTTGATTATATTAGTATGAAACATACCGCTCAACATTAACATCTCACCCCAAAACTCTTCTCGGTATAATGTTTCATCCACGAAATAGAGTAATGTTGCATCCGACCAACGGAAACGAATATTTCATTGATCGCAATGGCTACGCGTTTCACTATGTGATGGAGTTTTACCGTACCGGGACGATTGTTTGGAGGCCGGCACTGGAATCTCCCAACTGTATCCACTCCTGCCCGCGAAACTCCTCAACTCCTCACCCAATCTCCTCGTCATCAACCTCCTCCTACACAGAGATAAACAATGCCACAGTTCCAACCCGAGCTGCCGCGGCGTTTGTGGCTATCTCGCCTCAGGCAACGTCGAACGGGATTGGCTTCCCGAATAACATCCAACAGTCGGCCCTAAAACCAATCACTCCGCCTTCGCCTCCCCCCTCAAACCCTGTCCCCCCTGAAAAGTCTTCGTGTTGTCACTATCACAGCTCACCGCGTCCATACATTTCGTTGCCTGAACTTGAACAAGAATTCAACTACTTCCAGATACCCTTCACCTCTCAGGTGTCAGTGGCTCACAAGGCCGCCGGGGAACTGCTTGATTCCTTCGCCTACGCGGTTCAAGAACTTTTGTGTGCCTCCATCGCAAAGTTGATAGATCGCGTGTGGATAACATTCTATCGCGACGGGTCTCAGATGGAGTGCATAATACCGTCGCAAGTAAGCAAGCTGAGAGAGTTCAGCTTAAATGGTTACTGCATCATCAATCACTTCTACGATGACATCAAGAAATACCTGGAAACCGTATTTCCCAATATGAAATTTAGATTAGAGTTTGGTTGCAACTACAAGAGTCTGACGATATCCATGAGTCATCTGTTCACCAAAGATAACATCATCGAACATTCCAAGATCGGTAATTTGTGATTAGATTGGACTTTGGTGGACGAATACTACATTAGCGATGGCGTTGAGTGTTGATGGGTTTTGGGAGAATTCACTTCGAGATTTCCCTTTTGTACAATGCCCTAAAAAAATTGATAATAATATAAATAAAATAAAATAAATTCCGTACGTGTTTAAACCAGGCTTGCATAGTATAATCTAATCATCGAACCATTTAAGCTATATAAAACATGTTTACTTTTACAGTAGTGGTTTCAGTGATGCAAGTCGTGTTAAGAGTAAACATTTCGCACCCATATACGCGATTTAATGTAAGATGATGTTTTTGGAAAAAGCCCGGATGATCCCGACTTAATATGGAAAATCCGACAAATATTACATATTACCCCGCCGGTGAAATTTGGTATAATATGCATGCATAGCAATTTTCACCAAAGGCTTTTTTTATCAGACATCGCAAACCCATCGACGATTTTCCTTTTTCAAAATATGCTTTTCTAGAAATTTGTAAATTATGCTAATAAATAAATGTGTAATCGTTATTTTGTTTATGGTAAATCGTGTAATTATGGGAATTTGTTAATGGGTTCATTTATTGCGTTGTACAAGTAAAAAATATATATTTATTCATATATTTAAGCTTTCCTTAATGTGTATATATCCATGTCACATGCTATTATTTACTTTACGATGGTTACCTTTTCTTTTAAATAACAGGATTAATCAGCGTCATCAATATCATCAATGAAAAAATCAAATTAATATATACTGCATATACTGTATACAGTATATTGTTTTGTTTTTTCTTGCGAGAGACCGATGGTTCCATAAAAAGCTTAAGGGTACTATCAATGAAATCCCACTCGGAAATTATAGTATATGGTCAAATGGAATCTACAAAATAATAGTTTAGTTTGAAAAGCATTACTAATAATAGGATTCAATTAAAAAATTACCTTAATGCAAATTCACTTTCAATGATTATTAATTCTTGTTGATTAATTTATTCTTTATTAAATATACATACAGTGTGGGACACTCGCTTTTGGAAATTTTTAATTAATTATAATTTGATTAAAAATTTTGTTAACATAAAAAATTTTTTTAA